AAAGGCCCTTTATTTCGCTTCGCATAAAGTACTTTTCAGTCTTTGACATTTCCGAGGCCCATCTTCTGCGTGGTCGACCTCTCCGTCTGTAACCGTTGTAGTTGTATAACACTTTTCTCTGTGTTGCCCTGTCTGTTGTCAATCGTATTACATGGCCAGACCATTCGATTTATTGTCTGCCTATACAGTTCAGTATTCGTTCTTGCCGACTCTTCTCATATCATCGTTCCTAAGTTGACTTGTCCTTGTTACCCTAGCATAGAACTTACACATTTTATTTCTGTCGTGACTATTTTTACTTCTAGTATTCTGAATAGTGTCCATGTCTGACATTGACAGCATAACGTTGGTAACAATACTATCTTGAACAGTGTTTTTTTTTTAAAAAAGTGTTTATATCCTCATGCTTGCATTTCAAAACTTGTGCCATTTGGACTAAAACTTGACTGGCTTTATTTCATCTTTGTTGGATTTCTTTATTGTAACTTCCGTCTTCATAAAATATGCTTCCCAGATATGTAAAATCATTGCCTGCTTTAACTTGTGTTCATCAGTTTTGATCTCGGTGGTTCTTCCTTTTCTGGAGAATATCATGACTTGTTTTGTCTACGCTGATCTTGATATCATATTTGTCGTATTCTGATCGGAGTCTATTAATATGTTTTTGTAGTTGCACTACAACTAGCTGTCACCCAAAAATAACAATAAATGATGAAGAAATTGAAACTGTCATCAACTTTGAATATCTAGGCTTTATAATCAACAACAAAGGAGACTTCAACAGAAATTAAAAGGAAGATGGCCATAGCAATGCAAAGATTGAACAACCTTAACAGTCTATAGTTAAGCACCAGCAAGGAGATACAAATTAGAATTTTGAGAGCATGCATCTTCCCTGTGGCTTCATACGGATGTGAGTCGTGGACTATATCTCAGTCCTTGAGAAAGAGAGAATGGGGCTTTTGAGTTTAAATGCTACAGAAAGATTCTCAGAATATCTTGGACAAAGAAGATGAGAAATTTTGACATCTCAAAAGATCTGAACATCAGGGAAGATTGGCCAATAAACAGCATCCTTTTTCAAAAGCTGCAATATTTTGATCATATCAAGCGCCACGACGGATTGGAAAAAAATTATAGCAGAATGCATGGTACCAGGAAGAAGGGTCAGGGGCCGACCGACACGAAGATGGGCACAGGATATAAGTGACACCTTGAGTGTGAATGTGCTTGAGGCGGGAGAACTGGCGACAGACCTAGTTTCTTTCAGGCAGACTGTGATGAGAGCGACATGCTGCAAAGGACCTGCTACATGATGATGAGTTTGTTAAATTTTTTTTTAGTCATTTTCTATTTTTTTTTTCCTTCCTTGATATTATTAGCTGATTTGCAACTTCTGTTGACCTATGTGATGAACAGTAGTGATGATAGAACGCACGCCTGTCTCTCTCCAGATTTAATGAAGAACTTTTCTGACATTTCTGTATTTATTCTAGCTGCACATTGACTGTTCACAGAAAGTCTTGCACAGTTTAAACAAATTTTAGTCACTAATATTATCTTAAATATGTGTTTTGGCAACTTGGTGCCTTTTTATGTCTCTTTTGTAACTCTGCTCGAGACAGTGAGCGAGCAGATCCATGACTGTTTTTATCCGTTCTGTGCTAGGAAGATCACTATTCTGGAATGACTCGCTTTCAGATGCACTATTCATACTTATGTATAAGCGCCAGAAAAAATTGTAGTGATCTGTCTTTGCTCATCCTGACTCAGACCTCTGTCTAGTTCTAATTTTTAGCCACGAATCCAGTTTTTAAACATTCAGCCTTCTCATCCTATGACTTGTAAAAAAAAATGTGGTCGGCAATAGCAATTCTGTATTTTATCG